TGATGGTCCCTTCGAGGTGATGTGTGTGAGTGGGGAAAGTTGCCTACCAATTGAATATGCTGAATGCAGTGACGTTTCACCCCTTTCGATTTAGCTAAAATGTGATTTTTAGTAGGATTTTAATAAAAGTTGATGAATATAGTTGAAAAGTTGATAAAAACTATGGATTTCATAAAATGTGTGGGTGAAAATGAGTTTCATAAAAGAAAAAGGGTCAAACTGGGACTTCATTCTCTATTCGACTCGTTTCAACAAAATGAGAAAAATGGTAGTCAACACCATAATTCTCTCTTTTCTCACTCTATTTGCCTGGAACCCTATTCAAGAACGTTATCCATTGATGTTGTTGGTGCAAACTCTTCAATGTAGTAAACAAACCAGACCTGTACTTGAAGAAACTTCTTGAATCGCTTGAATGAAAAGTTCTAGGACACGAGACTCTGATCGTTTTTCTTAAGACAATGTTTGCCTTCACTGTAATGTGATGTATTTGACTTAAGCAAATTTGCCTCCAGGATACAATGGTTTTTTGGGACCAACACTGCTACAAATCAAAGGTTTAGTTATAACCTACACAGTTTTGAAAGGTTTAGAACCGCTGCTGCAATTATCCCTTAGGTAAATCTCCAATAGGTGAATATCATATCAACATAATGAGCATCATTAACCTAGTCAGCATATCACGAACAGAGCAGATGTTGCATTGCAAAAAGAGGAAATTACACCTACACCTGTTTTTAGATTTCCATTTTCAAAAATCATGTCACAAATTTAAAGTTTCAAAAATCAGGTTTTTTTTATATTTTATTAAATATTAATTATATATTTATCATCACAATTAAAAAAACCTAATCTAACCTAAAATCATTCTCTCTCTCTTCGTGGATCACTCATCTTCCCCCCTCACTCTCTCGTCTCTCTAATCATTTTTCCCTCCCCTCCCGTCTCCTCGCCGCCCTTTCTCTCTCTACCTCCCTCCCTCCGTCGGTCTCACCCTTCCTCCCACATATTTCTGCCGGGGACTACAGTTATCTCGTCGTTACCATCCGAAGAGCCGCCGCCGCTGTAGAAATAGACGCAGTACTGCGGTGTATTTTTCGCCGCCGGTACATAGATCTTGCCTCACCGCTACCATCGTTTTCCTCAGGCAACCTCACTGATCCAACAGCCAACCATGTCAAGGAAGCCATTAACATTTCCACCGCCAACCATGGTCTTATTTCCCATCGATCCGTCGCCTCTGCCTCTCTTCGCAGATCTATCGTCTTTCTTTTGAGTTTTTTTTCCTTTTTTTTTTTAAATTGAGTGGTGTGGTGGAGGTTGTGCGATGTTTGAGTTCGTGCAGATCTATTTTTGTGGTGGTTGCGGCGATGGGTGTGTGCGTGGGTGCGGTGAAACGATTGTGAACGGTGGATCTGCTGGCTGCAGATATGCTGATGGGTGGTGGTTTGGGCTGATGGGTGGTGGTTTGGGTGGGTTGTGCGCTGTGGTGGTGATAGTGCGGTTTAGGTGTGTTTCTGCGGGTGACGGTGGTTAAGATGCGGCGACGACGGTGGTTCCGCTGGTGGAGGCAGTGGCGAAGTGGTAGTTACAACTAATTTGATTGTTTGTGACCAATCATTTGGTCGGTTGTGACCAATAAATAATTTGTGACCAATGAATTCGATAAACTGTGAGCAGAATTAGCTGTGTGACCTAAAAATTACTAAATTGTGAAAATTTATTAGTTTGTGACCTATAAATTGACGTTTGTGACCATAAA